CAAAATGGGCCATGAAGTAATATTTAATGATCATGGAGTTAGAAAACAAGCCATCCTAGATTACAGAAATATTGGTTTTACATAGTTGCCATATTGGATTTAAAGTGGGGTAACTTATGATTTACTGCATGGTAGCTTAGAAAGTCCTAAGTTCACAGTCAAACGTTCAGCTCTAAATCATTCAGTCACTGTGTCATCCCATTAGCCCCGGCTCAGACAGTAGTGTCACTATCCTGCCAACCAGTCATTTTTTTTCTTGCAACAAATCATTCAGCCTGTATAAATTTTTGTCCCCTCAGTCAACCAGTCAGCTATGCAGTCAGTCAGTCAGCAAATCAGTCAAACAGACAGTCCGTCAGTCGGTCAGCCAGTTAGTCAACCAGTCAGTCAGTTAGTCAGTCAGCCAGCCAGTAAGTCAACCAGTCTGTCTGTTATTCAGTCAGTTAGTCAACCAATCAGTCAGTCAGTCAGCCAGCCAGTCAGTTAGTTAGTCTGAGTCATTCAGTCAGTTAGTCAGTCAGTCAATAAGCCAGTAAATGAGTTGGTCAGCTAGTCAGTCATTCAGTCAGAACATCAGTCAGACAGTCAGACAGTCACTAAGCCAGTCAGTTAGCCAGTCAAGTAGTCAATCAGCAAGACTGTCAATTACTGATGCAGGCTGCATAAGCCATAATGTAGATTGCATGTCTGATCTTACCTACAGTCAGGTTTACATCTTTTATCTTCCATGTGAAAATCAAATCATGAGAACTTTAAACAAAGTTCTAAACACAGTGCTAACAAAGTTTAAAATTTGAAATAGTTTTCAAATTTCAAATTGAATGATATTTTAGTTATCAGCCCATTTTAATATTTTACAAAGTTGTTGTTTGATGAAGTGCGAGGCTTAACAATATTTTTGGCTAAAATTCTGGAGTTGTTGAGTTCAGAGACTGCCATTTGAGTCGGAGATTTTCTTTTCAGCAACACTCTAAACTAAATTCATGGCTTTCTGTTGTTATCCTTTTTCAAAACAGTTTAAGTGTAGTGAAGTGTACGTAAGGTTCTTTTGAACAAGAAAATGACTTGACTGAATAATAATATCAAACTCCAATGCACATCAGTGTACATGTAAGCTTGCAGTACATTATTACTTTTTGTGGCCAAAATTAAAGCCTTTTTTTGTCAAAAATAATGTTTCCTTTTTTAGCCAAACTTTCACCAAATTAATGCTGCTGACACAACGATTGTGAGCTTGAATAAAAAAGGTTGGCACTATTGGGTCATTGACAGTGTAGTTCTTTGACAATGACTTTGCAATGCAATTTTGCACATGGGGGTGATGTAAAACTGCTGTAAACTAGCAGAACTTAGCTCATACCTATAACATAACTGTGGCAAAACTGATCAAAAGCAAACTAATACTTATCCAGGAATAATAAATTGCTAAATCTATTTGGCATGATTAATTTTCAAGCCAAATGTTTAGACACACAATAAACTAGGATTTATTATAAATTAGCAGTGTTTATTCAACACCTACAATGGATTGTAGGTTGAGTGACATCCACTAAAGTTGCTCAAATTATGCTTAGTTGTCAAGATGCACACAGTTAAGTGTTTTGAACGTTTTCCTTCACTTTGTGAAGACAGTGAATTGGATGGTTTCTTGAGCCTCAAACACAGACTGTTATTTCCTAAAATGGTTTAGGGTCTAGTCAATTGCATTTATCCATCAAAATCTGACTGTAAATAGATCCAATCTCTTTTCTAAATTAACTGCTCTGAGATCATATTCTAGATTTTCTTCAAAAACTTACTTTTTGGAAAATTAAGCAAACATCATTATTTTGTTTTGAACACCAACTTCTCCATAACAAATACAGTGGAATTGACAAGGATCATCAGAAGTGGAAACTACTGCCTTTTATTTTTTTTACTTCTAATTTCCAACAAAGTTTTATCAATGAGTCTTGTGGCAAAAAACGGTGGAGAAAGGAAACTCCATACACCTTGAATCGTGTGAATGATGTAGTAAACTACTGGGTGCGCGCACGCAAACCGACCCCTTAAAAATATCTTCTATTGTTAACTTCCTTAATGTAATGTCCTGGATAAGATAAGTAATTGTCTTTTGAACAAGCCAGCCACATTTTATTTATGTGGTTCACTCAAGAGCTGGATTACAAAGCAAACTATGCAGCCCTTACAGTACTGAAGATAACCTCTATTCTTAACATTGAAGACTTGATCCAGTCTGTTTGTGGCATGTGCATCTGACCTGGAAGAAAAAAAAACACAAAACATTAGCAACAGGATAAAACTATCTAAAGTCAGGGGTTTCAAGCAGCCATCTGGTTAAATTAGAGATGGTAAAAATGTGTAAACAGCTGTAACAATGAGGGGCCCATAAGTCCCCCTTTTCGTGGGTGTTTTTTTTCTTGGGGCATGCTTCCCCAGAAATTCTTGAAACATTACTACATTATTGAAACATTACTACAGTGGAACCTCTATTCAGGGTATAGCCTGCGAGCAAGCTCTGCATTTGGGGGAAATTGTGAAAAGTAGACGCACGAGAGGCATGTGAGAGGAGATGCGAAAGCAGGGGGCGGGGTAGCCTCCCCGCAGATGTCCTTTGGGGTTCGTTTGTCACGCATTCATTTCTCCCCCACCGTACATCAGAGGCACCTCTGAAACTATTGCACGTATATTACAACCTTACAATATACATGTTGCGCACAAACCGATAACCACTTTACGGCGACTGCTTACTAATGTCAAGGACAAAGACAAACCGGAGGACAGACAGGGAGCAGTATACAAGATCAAATGCTGTGACTGCCAGGCTTCTTACATTGGTGAAACCGGCAGAAACCTAACCACGTGACTGACCGAACACAAACGCGCGACGAGGAATGGTGACGTCAACAATCACATTGCTGAGCACCATTTAAAGACGAAACATCAAATTGACTGGGACTCTGCGACATGTATAACGTATTCTACAGACTACTATCAACGTCTTACTTTAGAAAGCTGGTTTACTAACTTCGAACAAACGCCACTGAATCGTAGCCAATAGTTACCAGCGCCGTACAAACGACTTATTGACGAGATCAAGCAAAACTAACTACGAGAGAACAACTGGAGAACTGACAATTTGGATCTAAACGTACCAATCACTGATTACGAGTCTTCATAGCCAATAACATCACGCTTAACTGACAGACGACCTATAACATTGCGACATAATTGACCAATCAGATCAATAACCAGAGTATAATACCATCAACAGACGTGACACGACTCACTTTGACTCTGAAGATGACTACCGCACAGGTTGTCGAAACGTCAGTCACTGTCAACAACAACAGTCCTATTCAGGACTACGTTCAGGGCTCGAAGTTAACTTTTTAGTGCACTTCCAAAGTTTTGCTAGTAAGATTTTTTTTCCACTAGCAAACTGGTGAGACCACTAGCAAATTCTTTCCCTTTGTTTGGGATACATGGATGATTCTAACTCGCAAACGTTTGCAAGTGGATATTTTTTCTCTCTCGCAGGTTATCAAAATCACTCGCATTTTGCGAGTTTGCGAGCGTTAATTTCGAGCCCTGACGTTCACCCGGACGATCAAACTCAACCTTTTGAAATGACTCCTGGGTTCAAACCTTTCACAGATAAAAAGATTATAAGAATATTTGCCTAGGGCCAAATTTTGTGTCCCCTGAATAGAGGTGTCCCTTCAACAGATGCAACAGATAAAAACATTGTAAGAATAATTATTTGCCTGGGGCCAAATTTTGCATCCCCTGACTAGAGGAGTCCCTTCAACAGGTGTAACAGATAAAGAGATTATAAGAATATTTGCCTGGAGCCAAATTTTGCATCCTCCCTTCAACAGATGTAACAGATAAAAACATTATAAGAATATTTGCCTAGGGCCAAATTTTGTGTCCCCTGAATAGAGGTGTCTCTTCAACAAATGCAACAGATAAAAACATTCAGAATTATTTGCCTGGGGCCAAATTTTGCATGCCCTGAATAGAGGAGTCCCTTCAACAGATGTAACAGATAAAAAGATTATAAGAATATTTGCCTGGAGCCAAATTTTGCATCCCCTGAATAGAGGTGTCCCTTGAATAGAGGTATCTGAAAGAAGAGGTTCCACTGTATAATATTCTATTTATCAGTTCAATTAAGAGCCAATACTTATAAAACAGAGGTATGATTTATATTTATATCAATAATAATAATAATAATAATAATAATAATAATAATAATAATAACATCATTCATTAAGGATAAACACATAACATTCAGATACTGACAACATTATAGACCTTAAGACTCTAATAGAAGTGACTATATCTATATACATTGTATGATCAGAAAAACCCAATTTAACCAGGAGAAGTCCTTTATCAAAATACCACCCAATTTACTAGTTACATTTTATTTTGCTATGCTAGTAGTATTACCAATGAAGGTTTACAAACGAACCTAATCAATCAATCTTTCCTGTGGTAATGACATCCTTTAACATAGCTGCCTCTCTATTGTTGGAGCCACTCATAAACATGCATCTAACAATCCGCCACACCCTGTTCAAGACAAATTGCTACATTAATTTTAACATTTACTCCTAGGAGGAAAACCCCAGGCCCGTTGTACCACACATTCAATGACTTCCACGCCTGAGTCAGCAAACATTATTTTCCAAAACTAAATCCATTTTTAAATTTAGTAGGTAACCATTGATAATCATCATTCTCATAATCGGTCTACTGTAAGTCGTCTCCAACTGTCTTGCTCTTGGACAGCATACACAATGTCATTGTCTGAGAAATGCCAGAGAATCCACTCCTCTGTTTTGGTGTAACCTCCCAACCAAGTGTTTTTACCAGAGCTTGTACAGTGTATTTCGTCCCTTTCCGCATCAATGCCTGCTTGGTCAGATCATTGTCTCAAATCTTACAAACGTGTATTAACTAGCAGCTTATTTAAACTATGCTTGACTTCATGAAAGCAGAAAAAAAACAAACATCAAATACAATAATTACTCAGGCTTACCAGTCAAGATGCAGCTCCTGAAAGCCATCAAGTAAGGCCAGAATCACTTGAGACTTTTCAACCCTCTTAAAAATACACATCAAGCAAGGTGAAGTGAGTAGCGCATTAATTTTTATAAAACAATCAGATGCAATCCGAAATCAGATTTCCAATTACTTTGACAAGAGGCCCACTTCTCAAACAAAAACCCAATAAACAAATCAGCCAAGAAAAACAGAAGAATCTTGATGGCAGATGTATTAATTTTCATTTTGTAAATGCAGTGGAAAAAGAGTTAAAAACATCACAAGATGACACAAAACTCTGTCACCCTCAGCTATCAGTAAACAAGACAGTTTCCAGATGCAGCATTTACCGCATGAACTCACAGCCCACCAATCAGAACATAAAAATTGGGCGTAGAGCATGACCAATGTGTGACCATGGTGAGAAAAGTCAAAAGCAACTGCCTTCCCTGCCTGTAATGGCTGGCTGAATTTTTGCATCCAAGGTCAGTTTGAAATTAAAATTTTACTAGTGTGGCTCATAAACACAACTTATTTCCTACGTATTTTTAAAAAAATTGAAATTGATTCTGGGATCATTAATTTTGAAAACTAGCAACTTGTCAGCGGATAACTTCAAAAAATACTCGACCTCGCTGGGTCAATACCTGAGCCCTCAATACGGTCAGGTGATACTGGTCATCAGATACCCTGTTTTGACAGCTGTCAATTTATCACAACATGAATGTGCAATATCAGGTTGCACCTGGGCTCCCAAACTACATATAGCTCGAAAGTGTGAGATGGATGGTCGGGCGGTTGGTGTATGATCATGTGATAACCAAAATTTTCTCGGATGGATAGATTTTCTTAGCTATGGCGCTCCGCTATTACCAATAAAGGTCCACAAACCAACCTGATGACTGGTGATCTCTAATTCCCTGAGGTAATGATATCCTTCAGATCAGTTGCCTCTCTAATGTTGGAGCCACTCATGAACATCTGTTCAAGACAAATCTTTAGTATTCTTTTCTGCCTGAAAAAGAAATAACCAAAGGTTAAGCAAAGCAAGTACATCATTGATAATTTGAGACTTTCTAGGTTATTTTACTATTACTAGGTATACCTATCGACAGAGTGCCAACGAGCAAATCAAGCGTATTTTGCATAGGAATGGATTCCTCTTTTCCAACATTTGACAGTTTCTTGGTCCCTTCTTGTAGCCTGTGAACAGGCCTTTAGTCGAGCGGGGTGGGGAGAGGGAAAAGCGAAAAGGCCTGTGGACAGACCTTTGGAGCCGCCGTTCCACGGCACCCGCTGTGCATCAGATCCTGATGCAAGCTCCTATTGACGAGAACACTGACTGTTGACAGGTCTGATTGACATCGGCTTTTCGGTCGGCACATAGCACGCGATTTGATCACAGAGTGGCAATAACAAAACAGTCCAAAGACTATTACCACGGGGAGGAACTACGCGCTCCGGTCAAGAAACTCAAACTGTCTTTAAAAAAAACACTGAGCTGGAGTTTATAGTTACCGAAGCACAATGCAATTCTCCATAGCTGATGTAGCTTCGGTTTAAGCTGCATTTCAATCTTACAAAATAACCGTCTTTTAAAACAATGACGAGCTGGGCCCAGCGTCAGAATACAACATTGCAGAAAAACATTACATTCACGGACTAAAGAAAATCGCTTAGTTATTCAGATCGAGAAGGCACTTTGGAGAAAAGTAAGACCCTTATTCAGCCGCAATAAAAACCCGAATAAAAAGCAGGGCAAATCCTGTCGACCAGAAACAAAAACCACAGTATTAAAATCGATGTGTATGCCGTGACCTCTCAGTGTGAAACAAGCGGCTAAAATCACATTTGCTCAGTGAAAATGTAGAACCTTCCAGATAATAATCTACCCCGCAGAGGAAAAAACTTATGGGAACAAGCAGCATTTTGGCATAAAGTAAAAGTCGTGTTGGCCTACCATGTAATTCCTGTCGGCGATCGAAGCGCTGCTGATCTCTTTGTACTTGTCTTCGAAGCTGCACGTTCTGGAGAAGTCATGATAGTATCCGTACCTTCCGCATTCCAAGTACGCTCATTGCAGCGGCTTGTTAAATTACAAACCGAACTAGCAAGACGAACGGCTTATTAATCCTCTTACCGGAGATCAACGACTTTTTGCAAAACCAACAATGAGGTTCATGCTCCATTTCACTTTGTTTTCAGACAGAGCAAAACACTACTCATTTCCTGTTATTTTCCCAGGAGTTACTCACGCGCGAAATTGATTGACCGATAACGATCCTACTGACAGATGATCGGCAGGATAATTACAAGAGGCGGAATAGCGGCCTCAAATGTTTGTCTACAGGCTCTCTCCCCCCTTTCCCTTTTCTTTCCTCGCTATTTTTCCCCAAACAGAGAGCCTGTTCACAGGCTACCCTTCTTGTTGAAAGGATTATTTCCTTAAAACGGAGGTGCTATGCAAGTATAAACTAGGTTCGGAGAAGAGTCAGTCCTCGAGACTGCTGTGGCTTTACGAACCTGCTATATAAAAGTTTAAGGTGTCATGAGGCATACTTTTTTGAAAGAATAAACCAGCTTGCAGAGGAAGCGATCGGTAATATTTAGGGGGAAATTTAAAAAATGATCGTTTCTCTCACCACTACAAAATTAGTGTCGGTTCGGTTTCACTTTGTAGATAAATATTTGTGCAGTTTAATCATTTAAACCTCCTCTAAAATTTCCCGAGGCGTTTTGTCGAGTTCCCGATTGAATTTTAGAATGATTCGCTGCGCTGCTTGAAATGTTTTCAAGGACATGCGATGTACGGCACGTCGGTATTTTGTTTTCACTTCGGCCAGGTTTCGAAAAAAAAATAGCGTTGTTTTCTTTTCCTTCGTCCTTCGCTTTAGGCTTGTAATTCTTTTTTATTCTTATTTTTCCATTTGCTGGTTAGATTTTTTCCCCAACATCAGATTTTCCTACAGAAGCGACTATATATTCTTCGTATCAAGCTTTCCTTATCTCCTGGTGTAATCTGATCGTTTTGCTTGTTTCACATGGAAAATTAAACTGTTGTTTTACAAGCTTCTCTTCGTTAAAACCTTACATTAATGGCCCCCCAAATTAATACAATGCATCAAGTTTTCATTTTCCTTGACTGCCGGGGCCAGATTTTGGTGAATAAACAATAACAGCATACCACATTCACGTTCAGTCTTTGCGTGCCGCTGAGGAAAGAACACATGTGCGCCAACTATAGTTTGCCGCCTTTTGATTGGCTGAAACTGTCACACCACTTGGTCTCAGGGGAATCTACATTACATGAGGTTACACTTTTTGAAGCTCAATCGAGAATTTTTCTGCCTACAGCCGAGTCTTACGCGGCTCTATTCTGCTGCTGCCTCACCATCCGAGCGTCTTCGCTCGGATGGCTCGTTGGCAATTAGTAGCATGCGGACATACAAAGGGTTTATTCTAGAGCGCAGCCTTGCAGGATTTCTGCAATGTGGAAAAAAAAATTAATATGCCGCATAAAATTTACGTTGCTGCATCAAATGGGCTGCAAAAAAAAGCTAATGATTAGGACTGTTTTTTTGAAAGAAACTTTTCATCTACGTTTGAAAAGAATTAGAGTCATTTTACCTCATGTTCAGTACTTGCAAGACTGTGAATTATGATGATTTCAATAAACGTTCGTTTCTCATGGAACAGTCTGTACAAATAAATTCAAATACCTTTTGGGGGACCCCCTTTCTTGAAAAAGGGCCCCCTAAAATTACAGAAGGGGGCCCATTTGACCCTCGTTGGCTAATTTCTAAAATAAACCCTGCATACAGGATTCAGTTATGCACAAAAAACATACAAAGCAACTGTTGTACTGTGAAGAAGGATGTTTTTTTTTGTGGTGATGGTGGTGGTCGATATGACATCTGGTTCCTCTTGAAAGCTGTTGGTTTCAAACTACAGTTGAACCTCCACTAATGTCCAACTCCCCACAATGGCCACTTCTCTACAGTGGGTACATCCACAATAGGGATCTTCAATCCTGCCATACTGACCAAAATTTTCCCTTCATCCCAAAATCCCAAACGTTTATCGCAATCACAATCTCGGTAAAATCTATTCATTGCATTACATCACATTATGATGTCCACGCCTCATCGTAATATTATTATAGCCTGTGTAGCAGGCGCACGAGTCTTCGATATTTCTCCTATCACCTAAGACCGCAGGGGCGGATCCAGGATTTATTCAAAGAGGGGGTTGTAAGTATGAGAGTAAAATTTTCACCATCTGGAATCCCCGATCTCGGCACTTTAAAGCAACAATTTCCTGAACCCCACTTCGTAATAACGCTAAATCCCGCGGCCAATCCATAAATAAAATCCCGAATCCCCCTTCCATATTTCTTTAAAATCCCAAATCCCAGGCTCCAAAAAGGCTAAATCCCAGATCCCAAAACACCCACTGGGGACACTCTCTACAATGGCCACTTATTTTAATTGCTTCTTGTTAACGGCCACCTTTGACAAAGGCAATTGCCACTTAAGTGGTCCCCAACTATCAGTTTTTTCAGCTACTGATGAAAAAGGCAAGAAAGGTCATGAAATTTGATTCCTATAGAGAGGAGAAGGCGTTATATCACGTTGCCATGGTAGCAAAATTTTTGGATGACAACAAACCGATAAAGCCACTTAAAAGTCTATTACTTAATGATTATACCGGTAATTATTTTCAAAGGACAGAATAATAAAAAGAACTTCTAAGGCTTCACTAAACTCATTGAACGTCCTAGAATGCAAAGCTAATGACTTTGTACTGTGCTTTGAACGTCCTGGGATGAAATTTCCAACAACTTTCAACGACCTGGACTAATACCTTTAATGGTTTCTCAAATGCTTCTAATGGTAAGCTATACTTTCTCACAGTTTTACTAACAGCTTCAACGCTTTTCAAAGTCGTTTTAACACTTAGTTAACAGGTTCTTGATGCTTTTAGCCGTTAAACGGAAAACCGTTAGTGTACATTTTCTTGGCGACCACAATTCTTTAGCACAGGCAATTTCAAGGGCTCTTGCTGAATCTCTGCCTTCCCATTGAGATTCCAGTGGAAGGACCACAAACATGGCTGAGTTGTCTGGTCCTCTAATCTCAGCTATGAATTCAACTAAGTCTCCGGCGAAAACTTGCCTGTAGTGGTTGGGGGCTCTTGTGGTGGTGCCAAACCATTTGTGGTGGCTCCTGGTTATGCTCAAGTCTAATATAAGTTTGTTTCTAAAATTACGAGTAGTGTAGAAGCTGCTAGGAAGGTCTCTCCTAACTGGTCGCAGGAAACAATGACAGCTGTTATGTGACCCAAACTTACAGCAGGGATTTTAGAAGACCTGGCCGACCTCCAACCAGACAGTAATTATCCGAGCTCAAGAAATCAGTCCCAAACATTTTGGGAGGGAAAACTGGTGGTATCGGGTCTAAGAAACGGGTCATTGAAATAGCAGACTCTTTGCCACACCTTCCCCTCTTGCTGGAAAGATTTAAACCACTACAAGCTACTCATTATTCAGACAGCAAGGTGCTTCTCTGACAAAGTGGTTTCACTAAGACATCGCCTTCAGAAAAGAAGCAGCAGTCTCGGGTTCAACCGAGTAGTCTCACATGCACCCAGACCTCTACAATTTTCACACCAGATCTCTGGCTACCACTTCAGCCACTTTAGGCTCCTCAAATTCTTCTGCCTTGTCACTAACAGAGCCTTCGGCGTCTTTAGGTAATCACCAGTCTTGCCACTATAGCAACTCCTGGAATGATGGGTGCCCTTTGGCCACCGCCGGTTTCTTCACTCCTGCAAAACAAGCCTTGGGAACCACCCACTGCCCTGACCATTCAGCATGGAGCGAATGGTACCACTCCTCTTCTCTGTCAAAGGGGGGTCAACACTATCACTAGGTCACCTCTCCTAGCCAATTCACCTGTACAGTACATAGTTTTGATTCTGTTCTCTTTGGTTCTCATGATAACTTTTCAGCTCCTTCTGTTTTACCCTCCCAGCAGCAGGGTCTGCCAAGTTCTGGTCATTTGTTGCATTATCTGGCCGTTTGTCCGTTAAGACCAGTTTCTCAGCTTACTCCCATTACAGTGGATAGATTCCAGCATGAACTCCACCTTCATCCTAACCCAGACAAAGTTGTGTACGTGGTCCAAGGCCTTGGTGATGGTTTTCACCTTGTCTTCAATTACAGTACTTCCTTGAAGTCAGAGGCAGGAAGTTATATTATATGGCTTTGGCACTCCTAAACCCTCATGTCATTGACAATTACTTGCAATTGGAAATTCAGACAGGCAGGGTGGTGGGCCCCTTCACTTAGCCTCCCTTCCCTGTCCTCCATGTGAACCCTTTCAACATCATCCTCCAACGCCACCAACCTGGGAAATCTCATCCTTGACCTGTCAAGCCCTACTGGCCACAGTGTCAACGATGGGATTGCGGGCGAGGATTTTTCTCTACAGTACATGAAGGTAGATAAGATTATTGCAGCCATAATGTGGCTGGAGCGGGGTCCTCTTATCGCAAAAATGATATTAATTTGATGTGTAAAATGCATACTGCATTGTGCCAGTCCATACAGAGGATCGCTGGTTGTTGGATATGAAATGGTGTGGTGCCTTTTATGTCACCTTCCTGATGCATTACCCCGTAGTTGATGACTTTTACACTCTTGGCCCTCCTGGCTCTTCTGTCTCTAAACACAATCTGAACAGGTCTGTTGACTGTTTTTATAAGCTTTGCATCCCCTACATCCAGACAAACAAGAAGGGCTGCAGATGTGCCTAACAATCCTAAGCATTGAACTGGACTCTCTTAATCTGCAGGTACATTGTATGCCTTCCTCAGGACAAATTTGATAGGATAACTGCCTTGTTGGAGGAATGGTCACAAAAGTCATGGTGTAAAAGCAAGCAACTGGAGTCTCTAATAGGTCACCTTCAGCATGCCTGCAAGGTCATATTCCAAGGTCACTCTTTCTTGAGTTGAATGATCAACCTGCTATGAGCTTTTTGCCGCGATGACCACCCGATTTGTCTCAATCAGGAGTCCTTTCTTGACCTAGCCTGGTGGCAAGAGTTTTTCAAGTCTTGGAATGGTTGCAGCTTTCTTCAGTACCTTCAGTGGGCTCCACTGCCCTACTTCGAGGTTCCTTCAGATGCCTCTGGAGCTCTTGGTTATGCAGCAGTTTTACAGGGTCACTGGTTTTCAGTCAAATGGCTTCCTACACAGGTCTCTCAGTCAATTGAGTACAACCCAGATTCTGCAGCTGCTCCTCTTGGATTTGGATATTTGCAGGCAGATAAATGCCACCTCTATGTGCTTCTGGGTCTTGCCCCTTCTACTTGGAAAGTTTATGCCTCTGTCTAACACTGCTTCTTGAATTTCTGTGCTCAGAACAATAGCCTATCTGGATCAGCTATCAGCCAGTGAAGACGTGCTCATCCTTTTCCACTGCCATCTTGCCAATGCTCTCCCAGCATTCATCCATAAAGGTTTACCTTTTAGAAATCTGATCCCTTCCCCGCTGGTTGGTTGCCTTCAGTTACACCGTGTATTGCAGGGTATCAAACGTCACCAAAGCTCTAATAAGTGTCAACACCAACCCATCATAATCGAGCTGATGCACATTTTTTCCCAGTCCTTGAACTTCTCTGACTACAACCATACAATGCTTTGGGCTGCCTGCTGTCTTGGGTTTTTGGGTATCTTATGTACATGTACTGGTGAGTTCACCGACAATTCCCACTTCAATCTCAACATCCACATTGCTGTCAGCGATGTCCACATTAACATTAAGTACTCTACGATGGACCCCTTTCGCAAAGGTTGCTATATCCACATTGGTGCTGAGAAACATAATCTCTGCCCCATGAGCCCCCTTACCCAGTATATACATTTTCGTGGCTCAACGTCTGGCCCACATTTCATTCTATCTGAATTGACAATTGCTGATATCTGGTATTCAATCCACCCTCTCTGCTGCTGGGGTCCCTGGTTGCTACATTGGTCATAACTTCTGCATTGGCACAGTCATTTCAGCAGCCTCTTATGGCTTACCAGATCACCTCATCAAGATACTTAGCAAATGGTCCAGCGATGCATATCAGATCTATATTCACACTCTCATCAGTACTATTATGGGGTCAAAAGCCTACTCACCTGACAGGTTATTTCTTGCATATCTTTCTCTCTTTCTTGTTATTTTTGTAGGGTGCTGCGGGACTTTGGTAGTTCAGGGCCAGGGCTTGCAGTTGAGGGCTTGCAGTCTGTAAGGCATTGTTTATAAAGTTAAGGTTTTTCTGAAAATAGTCTACCTCTTCTTTGAATGTGTACCGCCGTGGGGAAAATTATTGTCGTCAAACTGCCGAGAGGGTAGTGTGGTTTATCAGTTGCAAGGAATGGTCACTAAAAGAAAAAGGGAGAGTCCTTGTGCAGCAGTTTGGTGCAACTGCATCCTATTTGCCTTACTCAAAGTAAGTGAAAGGCAGGCTACTGCTGAGTAGATTCATAACAATGTCACAAGGTCTTGATTGATAGCCTAGAGAGTACAGCTGGTAATTACTGTACGTTGCATCCGTGCAGTTCAGCGCTAGTACGTGGAAATAGAATACTGGTAAAAAATGTTTTTCATCAAACCTGCCATTAGAAAGTTTGTAGCAGTCAGGTATCTGCAGGTACCTTGATCTACTCTCACTAGACAGGGGGTTCATTAAGGTTTTGAACAGGAGGGCAACTGAGTTTGACACCTGGGCAAAGAATTGGCAAGGCCCAGAGGGCCTTGCTCCCAAGGGGGGTCTGGGGGCATGCTCCCCCGGAAAATTTTGAAATTCTATAGTCGCAGGGATGTGTTTTCCTGCATTTTGAAGCTGCAGACAATGACTTTCAACAACCAAAAAAAGATAACTTTTCTAGACAATTTAATCATGATTTGAATCACAAAAGTATTAGTTTAACAACTTATCTTTAAAATTTCAATGACTAGATGGGAGGAGCACCGTGAACGCACGTGAACGCACCGAAAATTAATTCATTGGCGTAAACCATAAAACGAAAACAAATGACGCTTCGCTTCGTTGAACATGATAATTGAGCCATTCAATATTATACAGGCAAGTAAAAGGTTAAATCACAAAGAAGTCTACTCACCTCTTGGCCTTTTCTCTACTGGAGGCCCTTTGGTTGAAGCCGAAAAATAATCTGCTATCGAACACGTTCTTTTCTGGGCTGCCATGCTCACGTGCTCGCAACACTGATACATTTCAGGTGGTCGCTTATGAAGCACAGTTCTTTTCACAATGTGTTATCGGGCAATTCTTCTTTTTAACACATAACGAACAAGGGGATTTCATGCCGCGTGTAAAAAAGTGGAAATTGCACGGCAAAGTATGTTTTACACTCGATAAGACTCACGATTGTAACTTAAAACTGTTTTTGATCGTTCCTTGTATTAAAAAGAAGTTCTTTGAGATGTAAAGCAGCTGGGCAAAGTCGTGTTCACAATTTGCCAGGTGCCCGGCCCTTAATGAACCCCCTGAGTAGACTCTAGTTTGTGCAGCAAGGTCTCTTCCATAGGGACTAGAATTATTGAATGGTTCTTGGTAAGTTGGAGACTCATAGCCACTATAAGACTGGAGTACATGTACGCTATTGTGTAGCTTTGATTTGGTAGCACCTGAAGTATAGTGCACCATAGTCTGCTGTAGTGTAGAATGTTAAGTTGCCATTGTGTGAGTAGTCTGTTTTTTAATTGGCAGTGTAATTGGGGCCTTGGCTCCATCCATCACAGGTCTCCACAGACCATAGGTCTTCATACAATGTCATGTAGGTTGTTAGCAATGTTAAAACATTTGTCAAATTTTCCCGCGAAGCAATTCATGGTGAACAAAACATTCGTTAAATTTTGGAGATTAAAAAAAAATGGTAAGGGGCTGAGACTAGGGAAATACTTCTCAAAAGAGAATACACTTCTCCAGTGTTAATCTAAGTCCTCTACCTGGAATCGCATTTTTAAGACAAAAAATTTAATTATCCTTTAAAAGCATTAATTTTAAAAGACTCTCTGACACACTAACCTGAAATACACTTACATGCACGTCTGTCTGCATCCAGTGCTTAAAACAACACTAATCATGTACCAGTGCATATAAAATGTAGCAACCATTTCTTGTCTGTTGGAAGTTAAGGAAAAAATGAAACAGTTTACATACTGTGTACATGTAAGAAACTTATTATCAAACAAAATGCAGAAGGACGTTTGGGTCATTATATGTTTCTGGGCCAGAACTGCCTGCCTACCCCTCCACTAAGCCAACAGTTTACCCTTGAAAAGTTAGTGTTAATGTTGGCCAAGGGGTCAGGGATACATGTAGGCGGGCAGCTTCCCAAAAACGTATAATGATCTGGAAGGTTTAACACTAAATTAATTACGAATGGCTAATTTTAATAGAAAAGGCCCCAAAAATAGGTTCAGTCAGCTGGTTACTTTTTTCAGCATTCATCAAACCTTTACCTTTAAAACAAACCAGCCGAGGGGTAGTTTCAAAAAGGAAGCACTCAAAAACGAAGACCAAAGCACACACTGAGCACAAAACATCCAAATCTCAAAAACAATTTAAAAAAGGCTTAAAAAGGTGGATGAACCTTTATTGACATAATAGCTCATAATTATTTAAACTGTAAACATTTTCACCTTACCTATCATTCTCACTATACCATTTTGTACCTACACTAACAATTTTTACATGTACTTTTTTATAGGGATAACCTTGTGTTCCTCTGTTTCAAATATGTATCATGTTTAAATGTAAATGTCTTTGAATAAAGTATAACTATAAAGACTTGATGTTTCATGTATTTCTGAAGGATCCTTGCCTACGGTTAGTTTCTCCACAGTCCACTTTCTAATGCATTTTCATTTACTATAACTGCTCAAGAAAAATCTTTTGGGTTTAGTTTTAGTCTCTAACTAAATCACAAATCGTTCTTGTCTTCACCGTCCTTTTCTTGAAGTTTGCAGTAGATCTGGTGGCCCTAAGAAGGCCTCCCTTTCAAACTTGGATCGCAAGTGTGTATGACACTGTTATAAGGCAGTTACAGAAATCACCTTATTTAGGTAAGGGCCGCTTACACCTAAGAGTTATTGTTGATCACTGCAAATTTTGGGGGGTTTTAATTCTTTTTATCTTGCAAGCAGATCCTGGGAGGGGGGTACTCTGGATTTCAAGTGACAGCAACACTTGAAAGATTTTTCTGGGTTTGAAATTTTCGGTTTTGGGATGCTTTTGGATATGAAAATTTTGGCAAGAATCTCTTGGGGTACTAGCTTGATTTTAAGAAGGGACCTTTTTGGGTGTTCAAAATTAAATGGTCCTATTTTTGTGTTATATCATTTAATGCTTTCTGGAAAATTTTTATGGTTCGGAAATTCGGTTTCGGATTTTTGGGGAGTTAAATTTTGGTGCAGGGATTTTTTTGGGTTTTGATTTTTGCCTCCATTCGATCATCCCTGGCACTTGAAATCCGGAGGTCCACCCCCCCCAGGAAGCATATCAGGTTCAATTTCATTCATTTCCTGCATGAATTTCTATGGTAGTTCTTGGACCAAAAATGGGCCAAAGGAACATGAAAACATAATAATTTTTATGTGATCCTCCATATGATTTCAGGGACAAAGGTGATAACACGCTCACACCACAATTCCACTTAAAGCAAAAGAAATTGACTTTCACATGCTTACAAAGCACACTAGAGCACACTTTAATGAGGCTATGGTTTTGTCTCACATAACACACTAAAAACAATAAAAGGTGCATCATAGAACAATGAAGCGTGAGCAGCCTAACACGGAAAGTGTGTTTACTTTTGATAACAAAAGCTAGCGTGCAAGAAGACACCAAACTCAAGCGAGCAACTTAGTGTGCTACATGTACATCGCATGCAAACTTACTGGATGAGAAGTGAAAGTAACATTATTGTAACACAATCATTGTACAGGCATTCTTATGTGAAAGCCAAAGCTCTTATCAGTAAATAATTAGTCAGCTTCATGATCAGAAAAACAAAGCTGAAACATTTTCTACAAAGGAGTCAAGGATTTAAACCAGACTCTTTGAATTTCGGCTCAAGTGGAGCCTGTTTTTTTTCCCAAACATCACAAACGTATTTCTTTTAGCTTTCTTTGAGAGCACCTTCAATTTTAAGGTAGTAATAATTCTGAACGAATTACCTCAACCGTATAACATGAGCTAACACATCAATATAACCAAGTTGTTGATGAATCATAAAACTTAAGCTAGAAAATTATTATTATGAAGTCTATCTTTTGAAGTGTAGAAAGTGTGTTTACTTTTGGAGCATAGCCTGTGAAGGTAGATGTACATATTTGTGTTCTTCACATGTGACAGGTTGAAGAAAGATTGAAATACAGCTGCCGAGAATCTTTTTCTGGTTTTAACTGTAATGTTTTTGCGATAGGATAAAACCGCAAAGCGCACTACAAAAAAGACAAAGATAACACAGAATAAATGATCTGAGAAATCTCTGAGTGTACCGTTAATGTAGCAAGACAAAACACTACTGCTTTGATTGTTACAAATCGATACATGTCACATGTAATCTGAAACCTCTCGCTTTCACACACATCAAAAGTTTTTTCTAGACCTAATACATACAACAGTAACCTAACATTTTTAAAAGCAAGGGGAAACAGTCATGATTATAATACAGTGAAACCTGTATTAGGCGGACACCATATTAAGCGGACACCCTCTATTAAGCGGACACTAGCCGAAGTCCCCAAATTTATTTCCCTTATTTTCTTTAAATGAAACCTTTATTAAGCCGACACCTCTATTAAGCGGACGCGGACACCTAAAAAGTACCTGAAATGGTCATTTCTATTGTTGCCAACCTGTATTAAACAGACACTTGTAATCAAATTCCACCACCCAACACACTAGACACCGGAAATGCGATAGATTGCCTCGAATTGCCACCCACAATTTTTTCGATTTCACATTAAAAAACATGACTTGGCGAGCTTATTTGATTAGTTTCACAGTACAGTATTGTTTTCTTTTTCGTTTTGTTTGTATAGAGCTCGTTTCAGTCGTCTGATTTCTTCAAATTTGAGTTGCAATCTATGTTTATGGTACTATGATCAATTGGTCCACTTTGATAAAGAAATTAATGCAAAACGTACATCACCACAGTCTCTGTGAGTATTCTAAACGTTTCCATTGTTCATTTGAATGGCATTTGACACCTCATATGACGTTATCTATCAAAACCTGTATTAGGTGGACACCCTGTATTAAGCGGACACTACAGCATTCCCCGAGGGTGTCCGCTTAATACAGGTTTCACTGTACTGAAGGTTTTTCTAAGACTTGTGGATTCATTTGAGATCATTTTTAGACAAGAAAATTAATATCATCTGCACTACAGCAGAAGTCTCAGAAGCGAATTTCAAGTGCTTGTTTGTTTACTTTTTATCGGTGGACATTTTTTGCCTAAAGCTGGCGATCAAATGTTTTACCTTTTCATTGCAAAAGTGCAAAAAGAGCAGGGAATTTTGTTGTTTGTTCACTGGAAGTTGGCATGAAGGCTTATATTTTTCAAGGTACATTTTGTTTTACTTTAGCGTGTTAATCTGTGTTAACTTGCACACTGAGCATGTCATCGATCACACTTGACTAAAACAAAGTGTTAGCGTGCTAAATACACTGAAACAAAACATAGTGTGTCATTGTTTGCTTCAGCAATTGAATATGCGGATGAAGTGTGTCTTTGGACACACTAAGCATGTTGTAATCAGCGTGTTGTTCTCAGATCATTTATTCTTGCACCTCCTCTGTACCTCCAACTTTCACTTCCCCCTTCCGAGCCTTAATATCCCTTCCCTGTCAATGAACCGACTTCCCCAATTTGCAAATTATTAAATGTAACACTTTACATTGACATGCACTTCCTTGAGCATGCACTACAATAATAAAATTTTACATTAACTGCTGCATTCATCAGTATGATGTTATAAAACAATTAGTTCACGCTTCAGCCATGCATATTTCAAGAGGCTAAAGTTGCTCTCGGCTGTGCCTCAAGCAACTCTTACACTCTCTTTTGTGCTCTCCTAACTTTCCACATACTTAATATCTCAACACTAATGCATGAACTAAGTGTTAAATGTTGGAGATGATCATATTCAAGCGAAGTGGTCGGAGATGGAGGTTTGACTGTAATATTCATTTCATGAATGTGTATTCCCAGAAATTCCATACAAATAGAAATATTGCAAACAATATCAAATTTAAGATTGATGAAAGTTCAGAAGTTTAAAGCGAAAAACACTTTCACTTTAAATTTCCTGCTTCAAGCATTAATTTACAGGGCAGTGTAAAGTGCAGACTGCGGACTGACTGCAGACTATTGTTTTTAGGGTTAGAAAACAGTAGTGGGACTATTGTTGTCACCTGCTCATTTGCATGGTGAAAACAATAGTCCGCAGTCTGTGTTTTACACTGACTATGGTGGCCGAAAAACTACCATTCGTCAAGTTCAGTCCCCCGGCTGTGAATCATATTAATTTTACTTCTGCTTTTATTTCACTTTTATTTTTATTTTCATTTCGTAATAAAAATGTTTTGTTTTGTATTGAAAATAAAAAAAAAAAGATGAATCTATTTCCAGTTCAATGAAAAAGAAAATAATTTTGTGTTTTACTTTCACTTCATTTTCAATTCAAAATAATTAAAGTTTAATCTAAAATTAGTATAGGTAATAGCACGATTTGTAGTGATATTTGGCATAAATACCACGAGTGATATTTCGAAATTGTGATACGTAATTTTGAGGCAATTTTGAAATATCACGAGTGGTATTTATGCCAAATATCACGTACAAATCATGCTATTATTTGTTTATACTACTACCCGCAAAAGGTTTGTAATTTTCACATGTAGGTATTTCAAATTAGGCTGAAATACCACTGCTCTAAACCAATCAAATTGCAGAAATTTCTCATGTAGTAGTATAAACAAATTTATGTCGTTTTGACGAATGGCAGTAAATAATTACTGTTGTCGGCCACCATACACTGACCGTTAATTTACTGAATTAATTAAGAAAACAAACATTCCATGTTTACTGAAACGGTCAGTATAAAACACGGACTGCGGACTGCGGACTACGGACTGCGGACTGGGTATAAAATACGGACTAGGTATAAAACGCGGACTAGAAAATACGGACTGGGTATAAAACACGGACAAGGTATAAAACGCGGACTGCGGACTGCGGACTGGGTATAAAATACGGACTACGGACTACTTTGGTAAAAACCGTGCAAATTGGTTCTAGGTAAGGAAAAATAAGATCAAAAGATCGCTAAATAGCAAGACACGTGAGTTAAAGTTGTAAATACTCTTATAGATTCTTGGTGGAGGTGTCCCGCCCGGTTCTCTGAATCATGAGCCGGATCAAAATGCTATTTTCTTCACCCATTTTTAGACCTTGTCTTGGTCTCTAACAATCATGAAAGGGGTCAGGATCAGGGGGGTACTCCCTTATATAAGGGAAGGGTAGGAGTTTTGGGCCTTTTTGGTCTGAAAACACTTTGCCCATTTTGGTGTGGAATCGGGTATGGTTTTCGAGGGAACAACGGGAGCGTACATGAATGGACGTATTTATCGTTTCAATTCCAAATGAATAAGAACGAAATAGAAATGTCGAATCGAAATGCATTTGGAGAATTTTTTTTGTTTCGCTCTAACTTGGTAATGATGACAAAATTTCTGCCTAATCATACCTAACCTGTTCAAGGATCTAAGATAGTTGGGTCCGATGAATTGAGAAAGCGAAAACACGAAAATAAAGCGGAGAAAACTGGGGAATCTCCCCAACTATCTGAGAACCTGGAACAGGCTAAATTAGGCCAGGTCCGAAAATGGGTATGGATTTTAGAGATCTAGTCTGAAAACGGGTGTGGAAAATGACAATTTTTTGGTCTGCAATAAGGTCAGGATTCGGGGAACCGGGCACTACACCCCAACGAAGAATTCCCAGTAGTACCCCTTCCGGGGATCAGGAGCAGGGTGTAAATCATATCATCATAATCATCACTTAAAATATAACGTTGAATGACGCATTTCGGTTATTATTCACGTATGTGAGTAATCCCTCGCACCTAAATACTGCTTTGTGCATCGCATTGACCTTCTCGTCTGAGTTCTTCATTCAGTCCTCATATTCCCAAAGCTTTATTTGAAACGGAATTGTGGCGTCCGATAAGAATTTTACTGATCTGACTAATACCAATACTATTTTTTTTTTTTTAATTCGGTGCTTCTTATTGGTGTAAAACTGCAAATTGAAATCTCTTCAAACTCCTTCTTTTCATAAAATTTAGAGTTTAATTTCAGTTGCCTTGAGTACCGGCATAACCTTCCTTCTCCATGGGAAGAATAGACTACGTGAACAGCGTTAAAGCTGGGACTACTGTTTTTGCTAGTCCGCTTTCTATTTCTCTCAGTTTTACCTTCTAAAGCTGTTTTTATATACATAGTCCGTAGTCCGCGTTTTATACCTAGTCCGTGTTTTATACTCAGTCCGGAGTCCGCGTTTTATACCTAGTCCGTATTTTATACCCAGTCCGCAGTCCGTGGTCCGCAGTCCGCAGTCCGTGTTTTATACTGACCGTTTACTGAAACTAAACTTTCAGAGAAGGAATACTCTTCTTAAAAGAATATAACTACAGATTTTCTTTGTATAGAAAGAAAAATAAACAAAAGCTTACCTGTAAGCAGAAAGCCGAATCCTTTAAATCTTAAAGCCACGATGTGGTTGTACTCAGCGCAAAACGTGGTCAACATTCCAGTGAATTGCAGCTACACCGGCGAATTAATTTGCCTGCAAATGCCACAGAACGAGGAACGTAACATTTCCACTGATAGTAGTAGTAGAATAGTCTATCTGCAGGGAGTTTTGCCCCCAAACTTTACCATTTTCTCCTCAATGTCGATGATCATGGCTTCCATTGCACAACAATAGGTTTTCGTTCCCAGAATCTTTGCGGCACTAGATTTCCCGCGAAAAAATAGGTTGACCCGAATATAAAACCTCAAATGACCACACCCAAAATCGAAAGTTGGTTCCCTTTTGGACTTTTTCAGCGCCCTGAAACATGCCTATTCTAGACATCATTTTGGATCTACACTCGAACCTCCCGTAAGCGACGAACCAAAATGCAAAGACTGAGTGTTCGCTTATGACAGGTGGTCGTTTACAAGAATCGAACCACAGGGGGTTTCTTCCTCGAAAAGGTCCACGCACATAGGATATGTGTGATTCCATGTTGTCACTAAAGTTCTTGGTATGTTCTAAATAAGATAGTGCATACAGCAAAAATAGAAATCAGAGAATGCGTCAAGTGGTCGCTTACAAGAGATTAAAAAACTATGGAAAATAGGGCTCAGAAGTGGTCACGGTCGCTTATATACCGAGCAGGTGGTAGTTTACAAGAGGTTCCAACTGTAAGGCTTTGACTGGAAAAATTTTGGTGTTTTGGATAGGCGGTTGCTTATGTGAGACGGTCGCTTACGAGAGCTGGTCGCACATGGAGGTTCGGTTTATACCCCAGTCTGCTGCAGCTCTTGATTCGCCCCCATGCATAATGCAATTTTTTCTCAGTCCTTCAACTAATTGAAGGCTTCTGACAACACTTCTTTTCGATGAGAAAATGCTTTATGAAACTTTTTTGACACTTGGTCTTTTCAGACTGTTATTTACCGACCCTGCGATCAGGCAGTCCTTTTTCTCTTTTTTTTTTTGGAGTCTACCGAACTGTGACACTGAGGCCTGCAGTTAGAGACTCCACCGGAAGTGATGAACAGCGATTTGGTTTTCGCGCCCACATTTCAATCAGAGAACGGGGCTGTGTGCGTGTCACGGATTTCTAGTTCATTTTCTTAATATTTGCTAATTACAAGGGCTTTTCTGACAAAGGAACTTATCTTTAGCAAAAAAAAACTCAGCTTTTTTTGCAAATGACTAAATCCCTGCTTCATGTCAAACAAATATCTCTTTCTAGCCTTTAATATCAAAAGTTAAAGACAAAAAGAATAATCTGAACTTGAAAAACTGTTAGGCTATCAAAACAAGTTTTAAACTCACCTCAGCAGGGGCCAATTACCGTGATTAATATGTTCTAGAGTCAGAAAACTAAGACGTGTTTTACTACCAAAAGAATGCCAAATTAACAAATTTCATCACTTTGGTGATATTTTCAAACGGAAAAAATTTTAAGTGAGCCTGTACACTCTCAAAATGACCTCTGGTCACTGATACGCGCTTGCGAGATGAAACCGTCGAAACTCGAAAGCATGCATCAGCGAGCGGGTTAGACTTGCTACAAGTCGACCTCTCACAAGCTTCGAATACTTTATTTGAAGTCATTTTTGATCCTAAACAAATTTTAATTGTTTCGAGAATTTTTGAAAAGGCTTTTTGAGGGAGCAGATGTTATGACGTCCCAGCAAAAACTACGTCACACACTTGATAAAAGTGGATCATTGCGGCGTTCTCTGCTTTTAACTCTGACATGGCGCGCGCGAAATATCTTTTAATTTTGCCAGGTACCTGTGTTGCAAGGAAAAAACAGATTACACCAGTTCTATCAGTCAAAAGTATTTGACGGGCGACGGAAAACACACTGAAAACAAAGAAATATATCCGTCCTTTCAAAAAAGTGGAGATTCGGGTTTATGAAAAGACAGCGAAATCTGTCATTAATAACGTCTCAGCCTACTCGACTGACTCCATTATACCCGATTTCAGATTAAGAAAAGGTTATCGCTTTCTGATTCGATGTCACAGTAGGCTGCAAACATTCTCAAAACAAAGTTGTGCGATTCTTCACTGACGGTAATTTTTATCAGTGTTTTTATAAGGCTCATCGCGTATCAACGGCGCTTTTCAAATTAGCCTAAAAAAGTTTTTTCGATCGGGCAAATTATCGATTAGTTTCGGTTCTGATCGCCAGCTGTTTCAGAAGCAAGGACTTCTTATGGTCAAAACCAATGAGATTTGCTAGATAACGTCAAGGCTGTTAATCCACATGCATATGCATATTCCATGATAAAATTATTCGGTTTTCAAGATCTTGTTTTAGTCCAAAACCCGGTGAAGCGATATTGTATTTTTATCGCTGAGTACACTCCATTAATTAATTCCTTGAACTCAGCTTCCCGTGAAGCATGAAATGAAATGTTAATTTTCCAAGACTTGATCATTAATTTCAGCCAACAAATCTCTTGACGCGCCCTCCCATTAACTGAAAACGCGGTCAGCAAACTGCGCACGCATTGGTCTTGGGTTATCATCACGCCAAATAAAATGACTCGACCAAGCGTCATCGCTCGGCAGGAAATTGTATGCTGTGATGTGCTTTGATCTCGCCAAAAACGCGCTCTTAGGTTAATCAGTAAAATCAAGACCATGGAGAGCGACTGTTCACGAAATTCGGAGGAAAATCTAGCTATGTTCGATGGATCTGATATAGAAAGAAGGTTCCTTGAAGAGAAGGCGGAAATTGTTCGAGGATTTCTACAGGAGAGAGAGATTGCTGATCGCGCCCACGAAGCCGAGAAAAATGATATGCGTTTAGCTTTTGAAGTGGAAAAGGAAAACATGAGAAAAGCCTTTGAATGCGAGAAAGAAGAAATGCGACATAATTTCTTGAAAGAGAAAGACAGCATCCGCTTGGAATTTCAGGAATCGAGACACGTTTTGAAGTTGTCTTTCGAAGACGAGAAATCTGCATTGATAAAATCATGGGATCGTGAAAAACAGACTCTTCTTGACAATTACATCAAAGAGAAGGAGGAATTAAGAGCGCAATTTGAGCGATTTTTAAGGGAGAAAGAGGAAGGATTTAAAGCCGAAAAGGCTGAAATGGAAGCGAAGATTCGCAAAGAGCTTGAGGGAATCGAGGAAGTAAAAAATGAGCTGAGGCGGACATTGTCGCAGGGCTTGGGCGATCTGGAGAATGTTTACTTCGAGGAGAACGCGTATCTCGAGACCCTCTATAATCACGAGCAACCAGAGGTTGATATGCACTTTAAAAGTATATCAGATGCCGAAATGAGCCTGGATAAAGAGGAGCTGTTGAAATCGCTCAAGCAAGAGAAGACCAAAATGCATTCTCACTACGCCAATAAGCACAAGCTAGTTGAGCACCAGTTCGCGTTGGAAATCGTTGACATGGAACAGAGGTTCAAACAGCAAAAGAACTATTTAATGAACATTTTTAGAAGAGAAAAGTCGGACATGGAAAAGGGCTTTATTAAAGAAAAGGAAGACATCAGACGTAAATTCGAGGTGGAATTTCGCAGAATGCTTCAACAACAGAGTTGAAATTCGAGTCGGAAATACAAGGTTACGAGGACGACATCTCTGTTTTGAAATATCAAAAAGAACAGCTGGAAAAGTGCTTTTCCTTAGAAATGCGAACATTGAAATTAAAATTCGACCACGAGAAGCTTGAAATTGAGAACAGGTTTAAAAACGAGAAGAAGGACCTTAAGAGGGTTTTGAAAGGGCAATACGAGAGAAAGCTGAGTGGGGATAAACTCCGGCTTGAATGGCTACTAGATCAGTTTCGCCTTGGAAGAACAGCAAGCACCGATCAAATGGACTGAATGGCTCGGCGCTCAGCACAAGTTCTATTTATTCCGATTAATCTTTACAGAAAGATGATGAAGTGCCGGGAAAACTGAACAGGTTAACTTCTCAAGTACCTCAAAACAAATAGCAGTTGATACGGTAAACATGCCTCTGTCGATTTCTACTCAGGCGAGTAATATACTCGATCTTTCCCAAATAGTTGCTTAATTTAAGTAAAACGAGCTTCTCCCTGAACAAGCTGATTGACTGTTAAGTGTAGTGAGAAGCTTTTTGGCTAATTATCAAGAACAGGCAACACAAATCTAAAATGTTGTGTCACTCGAACAAATACAAATGTACAGGTTTTTTAATTTTTTTTTTTTTTTAATTTTGCTATTCAGTTTCTCACTAATTGTTTTTTTTTTCCTTTCGCAAATGACATTAAGCGCCTTACCTTGCCAAATGAGACTGAAACAAGAAAAAAATAAAATAAAATAAATTACAATAGAAACTAGAAAAAGCCACCGTAAAACTAGATAATAATTTATATTATATAATCATTATTCTAATGCATTAGTAAAATTTTGCTTTTTCGTTTCCTGTATGATCCTAGAAACACTGGCATACGGCAGCGTGAAGAGAATATCTCGCGCTGTATTAAAACAAAGGAAGAATTATTCCTGTTATATTATCAGCATGAGTGACATTAATAATTGATGATATTCGTATGGAATATAACTCAGACTCTCATACTAGCCGCAAAATAACAGGAGATTGGCTGAATAGAAGTGAAGACTGATTTCAGATGATAAGAATAAAACGCAGTTGCCAGGGATGTAACTTTATACCTTTCTGCAGAAGATCTTAAATAAACTGTATACTGCGAATATATATTCAGTGAATTTAATTTTAGTGCAGATGTTAGTAAATACTATACTAATTTAGAATATACGTGAACTGGATTGAATTTTGGTCAAGGTGATTTATGATACCCACCTCGTTTAATGCAAGCCGGTCACACTCTTCAGGTAGAAACTTCATCTTTTTATGAGATGGACAAGTTCATTTGTTTTCTTACTCACGAATCGAATCAGAATCGACCACGACGTTAGTAACCAAAGCTCCAAATACAAGGCTAAAGCAACAAACTTTTCAACCAACTGAAACAAAGAAATTTTTAAATCTCTACTTTATAACTTTAGGAGCCTTCCATTCACCCTCTTGTCAAGGGGTTGCGTGATTTAAAGAGGGAAAAAAATCCCTTTTGAAAACACATTCACCATTGTTACATTGCCCTTAATACACCTTGTTCACCCGGACCATTGTTTCCAATTTCACCGGGGCGAGGGGGAAGGTGTGTTTGAGGGAGCTAAAGAAGATGGTAGGTGCATATGAGCCATGTGAGAATGGTGAATCAAACAAAAACAATCTCCAAATCTCCACTTAGCTAAAGAATCGTACATCTGCAACGCAAATTTTGTTCACATTGGAGTTTTTGTACGCATGAATCTGCTGGTTGGGGGAGTGAGGTGAAGTGGGGCGATAGGCACGCTTGGAAGGAGCCTTCATCTCCCATATAAGCCATTGGAGTCAACCCTTTCCGACGAAAAATTGTTTATAGCGGAGCTCTCGCGCGCGAAGCGGAACACCATGGGTAAGAAAATGTGGTAATCTACCCATCCCAGAAAATTTGGTAATCACGTGACCGTACGCCCGACCGTCCGTCCACACCACAGGCATACCAATGTTAAATAACTCAACGGCTTTTGATAACGTACAATCTCAACGGCAAGTATTTCAAGAGGACATATCAAACAAAACAAACGAGATGTTCAACAGGAATGAAATCGAATTAAGAGCAAAATTTACCGTTGTGTACCTAACATACTGAGGGTTTCATTCACACAATAAAACAACTGTCGATACAGAATCTACTGAGCCTGGTATTTTTCTCTTGCTACTAAGAAACTAAGTAACATGTAAACAAGGAAAATAACAGGCAGTCATAAAATTAAAAAAGGAGCGAGCCGATGGGGCTAGCGACTTCAAAAGATTGAAATCCTTGAATGAAAGAAAGGTTCTCAGAGGTTTCACTGCGGAAGTTAGATGTTTCGGCATGTCACGTCCTCTTGCATATTACTTTTGCGGTTATTTGAGGTCTACAAGTTTTTGCTGCGGCCATGAAATCTTGTAGCATCTTGAGCCCGATCTTGAGAAATAGTGTGATTGCCAAACAGTGTTTAATTTCTTCCTGAGTTTGATAATTCTGCACTCAAAGGGTTTTTGTAGCTTTCATGTCTTGTGACAACTTACCGTAAACTGCCGCTTATAGGCCCATCCGCTTATAAGCCCCCCCCCCGGTTATAGGCCCACCTACATGCAAACAAAAATAAGCCCATCCGGATATAAGCCCCAGTTACAGTTTTGATTTTGTTTTGAAATTAAACTGAATTCGATTTATTGCTGCCTTTTTAAGGCTTCAATTGTAAGAATCATACGTCGATCAACAGTGCTGTTGCTCATTTCGAAACGTTTTTTTTTTTCGTCCGCTTATAAGCGCATCCGGACATAAGCTCCCCCGTTTATAAGGCCACCCAAAACCCGTTACGAACTTGTATAAGCCCAGGGCTTATAGGCGGCAGTTTACGGTATAGCAATATTTTTAAGCCAGATTACATATTATTTATATTAACTCGAAACCAGCTTTCCTCGGTTGTAAGGGAAGGAACAGAGTTAGGAGCTAGGGTGATGGAAAAAGGAGTAAACTTGTCGCCCAATTTCCCTCTTTCCTCGCCATTTTTTTTCACTAGAGAAATATGCGGAAGTCCTCGAAAACTCATTAATTTCGCGGGAAAGCCTGTTCTAAAAATAATTCTTTACGGGAATGGGTTGACTCAAGGGTACAGCACATATGGAGGCTCCAAGTAAACCATTGCGGAAAATACCATAATATTCCTTAAAATGACGTTTGGGTAATGCTTCATGCAAAACTTACTTTTGCATATCTTTTGTAAGACAAATTTAAAGCAAGGGGCACACATACACCAACCCACGGCCTAACCAGTTACTCACGCATGCGCCCAGCCGTATTACCCGGGCAGTGGCAACCACGGACAGCTGTTTCGCCCTTATTGGGGCTCATCAGCATGGCATAGCCGTCGGGTGAATGAACGGGAAAAATCCCCGCGTATCAAAGACTCTTTACTGCTGAGGCGAGAGTAAAGGGTAAAGGGTCTTTAATACACGGGGATTTTGTCGCCTATGCATGGCGTGTGAGCTTTCTGCGTCGAGAAAAAAAAAGGAAAAAAGGACGAATGGATAACCCGGAAGGTATTGCGTGTTCTCCCCCCCCCCCCAATGGAACCTCTCATCTGACTTTTGACAGGAGGAGATGAGTCATTTCTTGCGGATCTAAAAGCTTGTTTGATATGCGATTCTGGATGTATTACTCAGAAAGGACTGATACGCCATTTAATTTACGTTACAGCTTTTAATTGAAATCAAATACACAGAAACTGACAAAATTGGCTTCTCTCGATTTAAGTAGCCAGATTAGGTGAAAGCAAGATGATGTCCAGAGAACATAGGGACTGAGAGGGGTGAATTGAAACAAAATACAGTCACTTTTATTATTTCAGTGTCAATGTAGTTAGCACGAAAGTATATTTGGTAGGAGACACTATTTTTGCGTCTCCTACTTACTGATTTATGAACGATTAATGGACTGCATTGTATACGTGTTCATCCGAGGGCAAGCGAAGGTCTGGCCGTTTGCAGCTAGGACAAAAGCATGACCTTTTTTAAGACCCTTAGTATTGGTCCGGCCCCGGGAATCGAACCCAAGCGGCCTCCCGCTCTGCAGTCAAATTTTTTTTCTACCGACTGAGTTAATCCTGACGCAGTTCATTCTCGTCCTCTACACTCAGTGTCCTCCAGTCTTACAGTAGCGCTTTTTGCTGCTGACAGCAACAAAACCGTTACACTTGATATTTAACTGAAATACCTCTTCAAGTCTTGGATTTGTTGTTGTTGCTGTTATTTTTCTTTATGCCTGAATTAACATTGAATGAAATTGTTGAATATGGTATCAGTAAATCAAGAAAGTTCAGGAACTCTTCCGGCAGAAGCAACAAGTAAACATGCATGTCACTCTCTACAAATAGGCAATTTAGTAATTGTGGTTTGAATCTTTTGTTTTGTTTGAAAAAGTATCACTGGAATAGCTTTTTCGGGGATGGCGGACGTTTTAGATACTTTCGTTTGAGACAAAGAACTTCAGTTTATCAGTGTAATTAGCTAGGGCCATGAAGATGGTAACTAGTGCTCAGTTCATGCATTTGCATAGTAATACTATTGAACTAAGTAGACTTTTAAAATGGTAACTCAGTGTAAAATATTAAATTTGACTTGAAAAAAATATGAGCTGTGCAGGCCTTAATTAGGTACAATTTCAACAGTCATGGTCCAGTTTGTATGTTGGTTTATACAATACATCATTAGAACTTCCGCTAACGGCCACCTCTTTAGAACGGCCACTAAAACGCGTCCCCAACTGCCAAAATAACCTCTTGACAACAGTTAGCGACTGATGAAAATGGAATAGCCACGAAATTTGATCCGTAGGGCGCGTCGATGATTCATCGCGGCAAGTCTTTTTAAGTACACTATTTTTCTTTTTTTTTTTTGTAAGGAAAGCGCGAGAAAGTCACCTTCCGCGAGAAAACGCGTCGCGTGGGAAATGAAAATGGACA